AAAAAACTTAGGCCTGGGTTTAAACGGTTTAGATGGTTTAGAGATTTACCAAAAGATTGGGCAGCATTCTCCTTGCCAGCTGGCAGTAGGTACCAACTCCAACCCATTGGAGAGCGCACATGGAGAAAAGAGAAAGTTCGTTTTGGCGAAATTGGGCGTGCAATAATTTGTGGTCATGATTGTGGTCACTGTTAGTGGGCATGGGCTAGACACAATGTATTCATGTTTACGCTTCAATAGTTGTCATCTGTTTTTTCCGAACAAGCAAAGCCAAGCGATGCATGTTCAATCCAATAGATAGCCCATCCATCCCCATCCTTTTCTGAAAAACAAACAAATCAGTTTGGTAAACATGCCTGCCTGTCCACTAATTTGTCGTCAAAGCCAGAATTCTATTGCGTTTTAATGGTTCTGCGTATCTCAGCCAAATGTTGCGCAAACCATCCATTGCGCGTTGTCAAGACTCCCGCACATGTTTGTCTAGCCATGTCTGGCTATGTTTAGCCACACATAGTTCTACACGAAACCAAGTTATGATCCCCGAACAAAGAGCTAGATTTCCAACAGCTGAGTCACAAACTAGTTCGCCGCAAGGCTCTCGCGCAAGCGCGCGGTTTTTCAAGCTATCCCAGTCTTGGACCTTGTTCATCTCCCCTGAACACCTCCCTGTGACCAACCAAACCGAACAAAAACGCCGGGCTGTTGGTTGATTCAGCTCTTCAACACGACGGATGATGAGCACTTTGCCATCCTCTAAGTCGGGGCCTCAGGATGATCACTTCGGTTCCGTGTCGGACGGGAACCGCCTTCGGTTCGGACCTGGGATTCATGGCGCACCATCCAAATAAGCCTGAATATGAGCCTGAATCCCCAACAACCATTGCTTTACTACAAGGAGTTTAGAAATGTTTAGAATACAAAACCAAGCATGTTATCAAACAATCTTGGAAGGGAGGAGGGAGGACACGTCTTCTTTGGTGTGCAGCCCTGGTCCGGTGTGATGGGACGCGCGTGGGTCACGACAGAAATACTTCCGGGCGATGGGCTTGGTCGATCGGGATTTCCGGAGTGACATGTTTGATCCTGATTGGTCGACCGAGAAAAAGGTAACATGTTGGAGGTACTAGCTGCTAGAATTCATTCCATCAGTTTGATCCTAGAATTGAGTTTAAACATGTTTAAACCCCAGATCGATCAGCCTAAGCCGACGACTCGACCAAAAAGATGCTTGAAAAGCACCCATGTACCGATGCCACAGATTCGATGGCCACAACGGCGAGAAAAATCCGGGATCACATACCGATTCGTTCAACGTGCAACAGTGCCTGTGAAATCATGTTTCATCTCAAGAACCAGGCTTTTTTAAAGTGCCAAGATCTAGATCGTATGATCCCAAGAGCCCGTATGGTAGAACAAACGTCTCGAGTAAAAGCTCTTGCTGTAGGTGGCTTTTTGGAGTGCAAGAAACAAAGCAAGCTTTTTTCGAGTGCATCAAAACTCTCTAGCACGGTGAGATGGATTGCGCTGTCTTGGCACTTTTGCTGGCTCGCTTAAAAGACATGATGGTGAGCAATGTGTGAAAACATGTGAAAACCCACCCTCTATAGAAGACAAGGTTGCTCAATGAGAGTAGAGGTTCTCCATCAGAACGGTGTGTTCAACTCGACGGAGAGTTCCACGGAACTGATTCTAAACCGCCAAATGGCCCAGCAGCCTTCACAAAAAAAAAGAAATCAGCAGCAGCCTTTGACAAACAAACACACCAGTGAGTCCAAGGAGATGCTGTCCATAACATCCAACTCAGCTCACAACCGTGCCACCAGTGAGTTGCTGAAGATATGATCCTGGAATGGAATCGACAGAAAGATGAGGATCCATGCATTTATTCAAAGAGACACCGGACCGAGACTCTACGTGTGACACTCTTCTTTGCGTCTTGGGATGTTCCCATGGTTCCTTTCCCTTTGGATTTCCACACCTGGTGCCTGGGCACAGAGCCCGGCGCCCAGCGATGCGCAGAGCACTCGCGTGCATCTGGTGACCTACTGCAACGAAGCGCAGAGCTCCATGGGTTTCCTGTTGGCCTCAGCGGCGGCTTGACCAGGACAGACGCATGTTGCGGGCAAAGGATTTTGGCCACAACAAAAGGGCAGAGCGGTTGAAGGGGTAGAGCAGTGAATCCTCCTACTCTAGGAGCATGTTTTGGTCCTGTGTACGCCCCAACTGCTGCAGACTATCATGTTGTTTGAGAACGTGTTCATATATGATTCAAAAACGATAGTGTACCTGTCACCTGTGAATACCTGGATCTTCCAACTGCGCAACATTTATTCCTTTTCACATTAAACTAGCCAAAAGGATCCAAAAGGTGGACATTTTGCGTATAGTTGGAAGATCCAGGTATATCCGTGTTCATGTATCCTGTACCTGGGTATATAAGACAAAAACATCCTACAACACTCGCTTCTTCAACCCACGACATCAAAACCAAGCCTTAAAAGTCTGGTTTTTCACCTCGATGCATCCAGCAGAGGTACCAGGCATGGAAGCAGGACCAGGTCCTTGTGGTCCCCCACACCTCATCTGAGGCGGCCAACGGCTTGCCCACGGTGGTGCTGGGCTTCGGAGACCATGCCTGGTGGCCCGAAGGCCTCGGGCGAAAGATCAACGCCCTGAGGCGCGGGACGCGCACACGCGTGCGGGAGGGGTAGTTGCGGTGGAGGTGGAGGCGGGTGGAACATGCGCGTCATCAAGTTGCAGAGTCAGGTGACGGCCGGGTGGTGAAAGCGGGCTTAGGAAGGGGTCGTTGGGTGTCCCGCTTTGGGAAAAGGTAGCGGATCCCTAGCAAAACATGGCAAAACTAAGAAGCCTATCCCAGACAGTCCATGGGACTGCCATATTTGCCTACATGGGACTGCCAAGGATGGATGCTTCTCCTCTTTTTCTGTCTTCTGCTACGGGCCTACTTCACTGCGGGGGGTCTTTGATGGAATTTGCACTCACATCACATTCCCAGACACTCCATGTATGCCATATTTGCCTACATTGGGGTGGTTCCAGGGGTCAATGTAGGCATATATGCCGATCCCATGGGTCGTGTCTGGGTATGGGAGTAAAAAAGAGGTCCCCTGCCATACTGCACAGTTGTTAGTTGTTAGTTGCCTCAAGGAACGATCAGAGTCCTACCGATCTGTTCAACCATACCGGTCACGTTTTCCCGAACTGATTTTCGGGTGATGTGTTGTCCGTGGAGACACCACACTGTGGCCGAATTCGTGGTTCGTTTGCACGGTCGCAGACCAGCTTCGTCTTTGGAACTGGAATAAGTCCCCCTTCCTGGTCCCTTGAGCAAATCCAAGGGTAGGAAAGAACCAAACCCAGACACTCCATGGGACTGCCATATTTGCCGATCAGTTGGGGTGGTTGACCTGGGTCAATGGGGCGGCATATATGCCAATCCCATGGGTCGTGTCTGGGAAATGTGTGGGGCTGTGTGTGAGACAGCGACGTCGGGAACCCGCTTTCGGACGTTTTTACCGTAGCACGCGGCGAATGAAGAAAGGATCGCTTTTTGTGACGACTTGCGGGGATCCTTGCGGATCAGAGGATTGGATTTCAGGATATTTGAGGATTCACAGATATTTGCTTTCATGAAGAAATCATAAAGAGGACTTGAGGATCCTAACAGGTTTGTGGAGTGAGTTCAGGATCCAACTTGGTGCCATACAACATCATTAGGGCTTATGAGTGCATATGGTTCATCTTAGGCCTTCCGATGGTTAGGGGGGAGAAGGGCGACCCTGTGGAGGCGATTCGTGTTAGATTCTGCTCTGAAGCCCAATGACTTGGTTCTCTTTGCCGATGCCTATGATGTGCTGATACAGAGCACGGAGCAAGAGATTCGAGCTTCTCGGTTCGAACCAGACTTTTCGACACAATGTAAAATATATGACCCACAGGCTCATGGACCCTCAAACTGCTAACATGTTCTGTTTGAGGTCCAAAACCCTGGCTATGAGGGTCCAATGAGCCTTTGGGTAAAATATGTTCTTCATTTTTTGATAGCCTAACAGGCGGTGCGCAAAACCGTTTTCTGGACGGTCCCATTCTTCTCTGCCTGAGCGAGTTGGGAATCTTCTTCCGCAGTCCACCCCAACAGAGTTGGCATCACGAAAGAATGTTTGTGCTCGGTTGGGGACTCCTCGCATTGATCTGCTTGATTTGGGTAGCACCATGACCCTGCCTTCACGTTGAAGCGTAGTCTGAGGAGATTGATTCAGTCATTGGATCGATTGTTCAGCCATGTTCAGCCATTCCCAGACCCTTGCCCCCTTTCACGTAGGCCTTTGGGATTTTGCTGTGGACGAGTCTTCTTGCCAACCCACACTTCAGAGGGCACTTGAATTGTAGGGGAGGGTCATGCTGCATGCTCAAGATGGGTTGTTGAAGTGCCGGTTGTTGAAGTGCCGTGCAATTTGATTCGCTACAGCAGATCGGCTTGACGGGCAAACATCTTCAGAAGCTTCAAATGTCAATTGATTTTGGGACTAAGCTCTTCATTCATCCGCAGTGATGGAGGTGTTTGTGGCTGTCCAAGGAATCCTTTGAACGACTGGAACGACGACTGAATGTGAGCCTGATCTTCAATGGAGATCGTGACTGTGCTCCCAGACTGCCAGATGTTTGCACTGATCCGCGACCTGTAGACGTCTGGCTTCATCCCAGAGTGTACTTGCAACTTGGCATGTGTTCCAGAAGGCTTGGTGTTTTGGGACGAACAAAAAGGCTTGGACCCCCCGAAAAAAGACGTAAACATGATGTTAATTGTATATCAAAGTTAAAACGATCACAGCAGAATATAGGCACGGACATATCTTTTTGGAGTCCGAACGTGTATAGAAATGCATCGAATTCATCTTCTTCCGCCGTTGCAACTCGGAACAGCAAATCATCTCTAGGAATTCTGGAGCATTCATTGGCAGGACCTTTGCCATGAAATCCATTTTGCTTCAGGATCCAGTTCCTTGGAAACAACTTGTCAGTGTGTTCCAAGACAGAACTCTGCAGAGCAGGATGCTTTTCACTTGATGTAAAAAGCAAGGACACATGTAATGAGTGGTCCCGTTTTAGCAAACCATGGCTGATTCATTGTAAAACGATAAAGAGTAAACAAAATACGATAACAAACATATTATATAGACATGCAATACAGTACATGAGAATAGAAGCATTGGATTTCAGGTGCAAGTGTTTAACAATAACAGTGTTTCATGTCCAGGTTTCCGTGTAATACAAGCATGTCAAAGTGAGGCAAGTTCAATTTAGTTGTGATTCAGGTGTCCTTTAGGCCTCCAAAATGGGTGAATACTTGGGGTTCCAAAACGATAACAAAAAACGATAGCACAAATTCACGAAAACGTCCTCGGGAAGGCGACCATGTCCCACATGTACGCGCCACGACTGCTCACATACTGCTCACATAATAGTGCACGCACACATACAGAGACCGACTTGTTTGCAGTTGAGGCAGGGACATGTCCGGTTGGCTGGGAAACAAAAAAAGACTGTATAAAGATTTCCAAACAGTGTAAAACGATAAAGAGTCTAAATATTTAACCCAAAGGCTCATTGGACCCTCATAGCCAGGGTTTTGACCCTCACAGCCAGGGTTTTGGACCTCAAACATGTTAGCAGTTGGTTCGGGTCTATGAGCCTCTGGGAAACAAGAAACAACAACTTATTTTATAGAGGACGAGAACATTTGTTGAGCCTCCGGGATCGCAGCAGATAAGATCCACATGCGCTCCACTCATATGACCCCATCACGGCTTTTTCTTCTCGGAACTAACTCATTCCCAAGCACGACCTGTCTGGGACGACGGACTCTTGGCCGTTCAATTCACCCCGGGTCAACCACCCTGATGTAGCACCCTCTTCCAGAGACCCACGGACCCTGAGTTCACCACGGACCCGGGTTGGTATGAAGGAGCCATCGTCTTCCGGTCCTAGCTCGGTTGTCTCGGAAAGCGGTGTCCAGACCTCAGAGACCCCAGGAACCGTTCAGACTCCACCGAACCTCGCCGAGGTGAGTGATGTCATGCCTGGAGGTGATCAAGCCTTTTATCAACGAAAGTTCATGTCTCACCCGCATGCGATGTCTGTGGATACTGATTGCCAGCTTCTATGCACGGTCGCCCGAAATTTGGACGCCGAAGGCTTAAGACTCCTGGAAGCAGAGGACGGACGCGACACAAAGGCGATGGGGTCTGTTCTTAAGAGAAGCAGGCCCAGACATGACCCATAAAACTGCCATATGGATCAGGGGTGTCATTGATCGGCAGTCCTATGCCAATCCCATGGAGTGTGGGAGTGAATTGCCTGGTCAATCACACTGGTCAATCACACTCGACATCATGGCTCCCCTAAGAATCCGGGCCCGAACCAATACATGTAGGGTTTGGAAACAGGGACCGGACCCCTGCAAAGGTGTCGGGTCCGACCTCTGCCATGGAGGGATTAAGGTTTCTTCCATCAACCACTAGCATCACTAGCATTCTCAACTTTTAGGGGGATGAAGACTTGGAAGAACCAGGAGGACGACCAGGGGGTCTCTGCTGAAAACCCATGGACCATGGATAAAATATTATGATAACATATATATGATATATGTTCTACTGAAAACACATTGATAAAACTATAGTTTAACATGTTTGACCAGACAGAGGTGTTTTTCTCAGACCACGTCCTCTGGATCATCAGGCCATTCACGTGGATCAAACCCTTTTGGTGACGAAGGGGGCTTTGGGGAAGCCTGGAGACCACTGACGGCCTGGAAAAAGGCCACGCACGATCTTGATAGGTTTTGATGTGCCTGAATCTATGCACCAAACAACTTGATTTGCATGGACTATGCCTTGGCTAATGCATGGTTCACTGAGACCGTTGTGATGGGATCTTATTAATGCAGAAGGTATGGTTGTTTTACGGTCGGCTTAGCACATTGCTCATCTTTTCTAGATCTAGGGGTCCTTCCAAAACTGACCTAGAACATCCTAGAACCCAGTTGACATCATTTGACAATTTTTTGATAGGAAAAGAACGACCATATTTTGGGTGTTCTAGGCACTTCAGACTTGTTTATCTCAGGACAGCTGTCAAACGGGACGGTGGTCTTCTCCTCTGCTGCGACTAGCGTCAGCATCCCGAGCATTCTGCACTTTCCGGGGGGTGGGCACTGGCCCATGTGGCAGCAAGGCTTGCCCAGCAGTGTGATCCAGGAAGTCTTTCGAAAGAGGTTTCCCGAACAGTTCAAGGCAGGGCGCAGCCCGCCGACGCGGCTCACACGAAAAACACGGCCCTAAAGGCGGATCATCGGCTTGCAACCACCATTGTTTTGATCATCGGCCTCGGAGCCAAACAACCATGTGTTGTGCTTTTAAAAGGCTACAAAACCATGTCAACCAGAAATCACACCAAAATGGAGCCGAGCTACTGAGCTGTGAGAGCCTTCCGAAAGGGCAACACGACGAAGTGGATGATGGCACATGATGGCACCCTCTGAACACCCGTGTTCGTAAAGGAAAGTAGTGGTGTAATCCAAACGTTGTTTTCTTTTTAAAGCAAACATCAGATATAGAGCTGGCTTTAAGTTCAATTGTTTGAATCAGTGAGTTGAGCGATGTTGGTGAGGTCCTCTACGACCACATAGAGGTCTCGGCTGATTTGCGAGGAGTACATCACTTCCGAAAGAGGCTTCAACAAGAGAGTTTCCTGCAAGTGCCTTGCGAATTGAGTGAACTGTGACCCCGTCTCGGCCGAGCGTCTAAGATGCGCATCCCTATTGCGACTCGAAGGTGCCCCTAGGTTTCAAAGAATCAACGGGCACCCTTCAGGGGATGTTGCCGGTAGTGTTTCGCTATGCTATAACCCCCCCCAGGAGTCTAGGACCAAAATAAGTGTGTTTGTTGTTTTTGCCCTAGGAATGGTAGGAGTCGGACCTTCTCCCGCAGGGGTCTATGTATTGGTGAGGACCCGGATTCTTAGGGAGACAAGTGACTATAGACACCAGCACCACCCAAATTTAAAGGGTGGTTTATAGACCCCCCTGACTATCTATGTTCCGTCTAATAACAACTCTTTGGTTGGTGCTGGCAGTTTTTGCATGTTTGCATGTTGTTTCTATCGTTTCAGTTACTCAGCCTCAAACGAGCAGCCCAGGCGCTGCGGGCCATCAGCTGCTTTCGTTGCAAAGTCCTGCTGCACACAGATGACGAGTGCAACTTTGTTCAGTGGGACAATGAAATGTGCCAGGAACTGCGTATGTGTGTCTTGGCACCAAATCCCTCAAACGCCAAAGTGTTCTTTTAGCAGACTATAGGAACGACGTACGCCCAGTTGGTGTGCTGACCACTTCCATAACAACGCCTGTCAACTCTGAATTAGTTGATGGGCTCGATGCCATACACGTCCCGTTTTGTCGTGCTGTTCACCGATCACAACTGTGATAAATGTGTTTCCAGCAAGGAAGAATGTTCACCTTAGACCATAGCTGGTTGCAACTCTCAATATATCCTATTCACATAGTTTTTTTTTTTTTTTTTAAATCCTGACTCATAGATATAACCTGTTAAGATGCTACGTTAGCTAGGAAACAGCCGATCGCCTTGGCTTTTTAGGGTTTTGTTCCACCGTTCATCAAGAGCTTCTCGGTGCCGGCCTTCACCTCGCCCTTGTCCGAGCGGACCGGAGGCCTTCCTTGGCTAATCGTGGTCGTGGGATTGCTGCTTTGGATGCTGGGTTTGATTCCAATCCGACGTGGTATACCATGTATGGTATATATGCCGATCAATTGGGGTGGTGCCAGAGGGGTCAATAGGCATATATATACCATACATGGAGCATCTGGGAATCCGTCGAGCCAACGACGCTTCGTTGTCCCCTTTCTCAGTCCCCAGGTCGGCGAAGAGCTTCGGCACGGGCACAAGATGGCGCGGGACACGGATGGTCCTGTTTTTTGCATATACTGTATTTATTTGGGTGATGGTTTTCCAGGTTCCAGCAAATCCAAGTTGTTGCAAGTGTCCCGTAAGGCCAACTTGGATGAGGTTCTTGTCTTTCGACCGAGGCGTGAAAGACCGTTTGGGAGACAGAAGAAACCCACCGAATAGGAATAGGAACAGGACATGTTAACATTGAGGCAGCCCCCGTTTCTGGGCCCCACACTATGTCAAACGCCTTCACCAGCAATTGTCATCCAGTTCTATTAGAGAGTAGGAGGGTGGCATTGTTGGGGCAGGCAACGTCCAATGCCAAAACCATATATACCAGGACCTAATTGGAGGCTCTAAGTGACCTCACTAGGATCTCAAGGACGGTCTGGATCTCTGGTTCTGGTACCGTCCTGCAAGTGGAAAGTCTTCCTGCCTTCGTCATCAAATGGATCGGGATCTCCGGTCCCACTTAGGAAGCGAAGCTGGCGGCGGTGGTGTGGAAGATCCAAACCGTTGGATCGCAGTTCTTGAGGTGGAAAAAGAGGGAATGAGCAACAGCATTCAACAACCTCCAAGACTCCATATAGATCCATGGAAGGTAATTGGACCCTCCTGGTGCCTACATAAATTGTCTCCAATCACCTTCTCAGAAGGTATGTGGATCCACAGGGACTATCAGATGCACCAACGTTCAGTGACAATAGATTTTTTGACGTACATAAGACGTATACGGTATACGTGACAATGAAGTGACATCTAGAGTATTTCAGCAGATCTTATTTAAATAGGTGGACATAAGTGACATAAGGCTCTCTGACTCCAGTCCACTTAGATGAGTGGGGACACTACTGGCAGGGAGTAGAATGAACAATCCCTTTGGTTGTTGATCATTATCACAGAGCGACACACACAATTGCGGCCTTGCACTGTGTTCCGGGCATGCCGTGTGTGTCCGGGCGCATTATGGACACCGAGCCAGAGATGAACACCGAGCGCACCGAGCAAATCCGAAGCCGGATGAGAACCCTCTCAAGACTGATGGACTCCCCAAAATGCATCAACCTGTTTGAGGTCAAGCTTCTGGAGGTGTCCGTGTGTGTGTGTGCGTGTGTTTTCAGGGCCATTTCAATATGCAATTTCTAGATATGTTGACAGGTCTTTAATGCAGTCTTGTGAAGTGCAAACCGTGACAACCACCGGACTGTGCTCTTGCGTACTTTCTTCTAAGTGTGTGGAGTTTTGCCATCAATCCATTTAACATCCAATGATGAACTTCCTTCGCTGGCACCCATTTTCCCTGAGAAAGAACCGCCCAGGAATGAACATATCCCTTTTTTGGAATCAAACAACCAAACGTCCCAATCCGTCTTCTAAACGTGGTTTCCCGCTGTGTTTCCCAATGACTTGTTTGATTGCAAGTCACCATTGTTTTTGTTTTGTAATTTTTCGCTGGGCATCACCCCCGCGTCAAGTCTTTGTTTCCGTTTCCGCTCTTCGTTCTGAGGTTCGCGGCCTGAGAGGCCCAGAAATCGTTCCGTAGCGTGAGTGGACACAATGTGGAACAGACAGCAGGTACCCCCTAAGAATCTAAAAGTGATTCTGAATGAAGTTCCACGCTCAGAGCATTCATTCGAGGTTACGAGACCTCACTTTTGAAGCAAACCAGCTGCAGTAGCCCGTGGCTGTGCACAGCAACTGGTAAACCAGTTGTTGGGGTGCTAGTGCTCGGGGAGGGCACTAGGCTGGGGTGTGCAGGTTGCGTGCAGCGCGACAGCCGTATGAAAGTCAAAAAAGATGGCGGAGCGCCTCATTCCCGCCGGTCAGCATTCAGATTACACCATGTTGCGCCCATTCTTCGCATACACTAGTAACAATACGCTACTAGTAGCTCCTGGCCTTACTACTAGGAACAAGAAGCTACTAGTAACAAAGGGCTACTAGGAGCAAGGACGCTACTAGTAGCTCCCGGCCGTACTGCTCGCAACAAGAAGCTACTAGTAGCAAGGACGATATTAGGTGGAGGCAAAAAAAGTACATATATTATATTGTTGTGCTTTGAGGTTGAGTCGGCTCAGTAATAAAGATCATCAAAGATATGTACGACCGTCAGTGTGAACTCCAATCTTCAGGCCAGTTTCATCGTGGGACCTCTTGTTGATCAGTTGGGACCTCGATTGTTCACGCAGGTGAGTCGAAACGTGCCAGGCCCATGCCTGCCGTGATGGGCTGAGCCCGTTCAGAAGATGGGAATGCAGTCGGAGCTTCTGAACCGTCGTAACTTCTTCCGTCTTGGTGCTCGGCACGAAATCAGCCAAGCGCTGCAAGGCTTTCACTGGAACTTCATAAGAAGACGTTCGAAAGATACTGGATATACTTCATAAGATACTGGAGATGACGTTCGAAAGTCGTTTACAGTAGATGGAAAGATGTCATGACAGATACATTGTATAACATGCTTCTGTGATGTCATGAAGAAGATGAAGAAGACCGTTTGGAGCAGTTTTGGTTGCAAATGTGTATCCCCGTTCTGATGTGCTTCTACCCTACCCCTCTCATCGCTTGGTTTCAGGGTGGTATGCAGATGGCTTATCCACAAATGCAGGGTGATATGCTGGCCATGGACTCAGAGTGCCTGGCCATTTGGACTGACGACGGTGGTTTTCGACCGTGTCCAAAGACCCGGTTCCCTCCGGCGAACGAGAACGGGTCGGTGTCGATGTCGATGGTGACTTATTGACCAGTGATTGAAACCTTGTAGTATATAGTTCACGAACTAAAGTTATAAGGTCAATAACTTAAAATGTTAGAATAAGTATCGTTAAGTGCTCTAACTAAAAACCAGCCCATATATTAGTATGTGTTCATGTGGTCACTGCGACGTGTGAGGTATGGAACCACCTGGTTCACCGAACATCCTGGTTCTTGAGTTCGTGCCCAAACATCCTTTTTCGGGGGTTGGAGGCTCACAGTCACGAGTTCGGTGGCTCGGGTGAACCAAGTTCGGTGAAGGGAAGTTCCTGGTCCTTCGGAGTTTCACGAAGCTCCAGCCCAAAAAGAGTGACCCCCCGGCAGGCTACAAGTGGCAACAACTGCTGAAAGATAGCAGGCGTTTGAGATAGCGGCTACTGTATCAATGTTAGAGTTACTTGAAATAAGTGGGTGCCGTTTCAATGAAGAGAACTGCCTTATAGATCCATTTAGGCGTTCCTGCCACACGGTACCTTCAAGTCAGAAGCACATTGGTTGAAACTCGGAGGTTGGCCAAATCTGGACCTTGGCCATTTCAATCACTGAAGGTGCTTCTCCACATTGGTCTGTAAGCTACCTCGCCAAAAAGCTCTGGATTCGGCTCCGACCATTTGTTCTCAGTGCCAAACCCTCCGATTGGTGCTTCGGGAAGGAGAAAGGACCAGAGTCCGCTCCAGCCACAGACTCCTTGGACGCAAGCATCGACTCGTCTGTGATGTTTTGTATCACAGCGGCTGCCGAAGCTGCTCCGATCAGTCTTGACGATGGCAGACGCACTCAGCCCCGATGACTTAGGCACAGCAGTCTCCGCAAGGCGACACACAGGCGGGCCGATCGTTCGGGCGGCGGCGCAGTGCCGGACCCCCCCAACGAGCGAAAGCAGCGGTGAAAAAGATCGGTTCCATTGTTGCGTCATATATGGGCAAGTGAGACCTTTCTATATAGGAACATGAGGGAAAGCGCCACAAAAACAGAGAGGTTCAAGCGAGTTTTGGTCACTGACAAGCTTGAAACTCTTTCCAGATCTGAATTCAAGATCAATTGTCCAAAAAAGTTCCTGAATTGAGGCACATCATATCAAATTATTGGGCACTGTTGGGCCAACCATCGGCAAACTGGACCCCCTGGTCCCGAAGAGTTTGCTGAAACTCCTCGCCTCAGTGTCTTTCAGGTGAAGCTGAGCTTGTGTGGGTGCACTCCCGAAAACGACATGGAGCCGGGTTGAATCCCTGTGTTCCTCGAACGCCTCGAACGCTGCAGCAGTGCAGCAGTGGGTTTTCAGGGTCCATGTGAGTGTTCCACGCGGCAACTCAACAATTCCTCCAAATCCCACCAACACGAATCATAAGAGAATGCTAGACGCTCTACTACTATACTGTATACTGTAATGCTAGCAGTAACGGTATTATATATTGTTGTTTGTTTTTAATGGTGTAGCGAGACGAAGGAAGACATGTAGTGTTTGGGTGCTTGAGATTGCTCACTTTCAAGACTCACCCTGGGACTCTCCCTTTGACCCCAAATGTACATGCTTCAAAGGCAGCTTCCTGGTTCTTCAAAGTGACCTGTTCATCTCCTGGTTTGAGCTCACAAGCAGACTTGTCAAAGGTCACTGGCTGGGACTCCAAAGTTCAAACACTGACTGAAGCTGGTTAATTAATTGAATGATGCTACAGTATACTTTCTATAGACCTCCAAATAGATAGAAAGGTCGATCCCCACTAAAGATGGTGTCTATCTATTCGGGGATCACTATACTTTCCTCCACCTTCCAACTCCACCCACGCCCGTACGCCTTCCACAAACCGACACATCCTGTTCCGAACTCGACGGATGAACCGGCGAGGCCACCATGTAAACGATGTACGTCCAGAGGACCGGGCACTTTCGACGAGTCGGACCGGACGGCGATGTTGAGATGTTGGACGCCAGCGTCCGTTTTCGTTGGTCAGCAACTACTTCGAAGAGGAACATCTGGGAGATTCAGGTCGGGCACGATAGTCTTGGTGGAAAAAAAAACGGCAGGTCCCAACTATAGACAAACACAGGTACACCGGTTCTTTGAGAAGTCAGCGAATTGGAGATGCCGGCGTCGCCCGGAGCCGGTTCTTTCTGCACATCCAGGTGGGTCCCGCCTGGATCGCGATGATTGGCCAAGCACCGCAGTGGGTCGGACCCACCGCGCCACATTCGCCGTCGCCCAAAACAGCCCGTCTCAGCGCCGGGCGGCTGTAGCGGCGTCGACATCGGTGCGGAATGCCCAGCTTTGCGGAGGCCCCACAGTCTTGGTCGGTGACCCATAAAGAAGAATAGTAATAGCTTGCTACTGGTGGTGAATGAGCAAGGTCAGCTGCTTGAGAAGACTTCGAAAGTTTGGTTCTTGCATATTGTTTATAGAAGGTGCACTCAGAACATCACAGCGCGGGAAGTCCTGGCAGAGTTCTCAAGCTGGGGTGCGTCAGTTGCTAGACTCCCACAGCCACCACACACCCTCTGGATGCCTGCATATGCCTGCTTTCTGGGTCAAGCTGGATCCACGAATCTTGACAATCACACAAGAATAGTCTTGAAAAAAACTTGGACCTCCCAAAAAGGTCCACTAAGCCGCCAACTGCGCCGATCGTGCCACGCTCCAGTGCCTGTTTCAGGTTTCAGGAGCGAGCTGGACCCACCATCAAACTCGCGCATAGGTTGAGCTCTGTGAGTTGATTTCTTTTGTGTTTTCACAAGCCTAAGCCTAAGCCATTCTTGGGAAGACACACATCGTCTTTGCCCTCAGTTGG